CGTGTGTGCCTCTGCCCACTGTCCTGTGACCCCCTCCTTTCTTCACCTCCCCCAGCTCGGCATCTGCCCAGCAACCCCACCTCCTGGCCCACTGTAAACCTGCTGGGACCCCATCTCCTCTTCTCCCCCCCCTTCTGGATCCCCATCTCCTGTCTGGCTCTCTAAACAATTCCCCCTCCCCCTACTCTCTCCACCCTGAACCCTCCCTCCTCCCCTCACACACACCTGCCCAGGAACCTAGCCCCTTTGTACTGTGTCCTGACAACCTCACAACTGCCTGGGATGCAACTGATTCTCCCTCTCCCTTTGTCTGAGGAAGGGGAACTCTGGTGTTCCCAGTGCCCCTGTGTCCCCAAGTCCCTTCCTGTCTGGGGCAGGAGAGCTTTATTAAAATTGGAATTGTGATCCCATTTAAATAGGCTTTGTTTTAAATAATATACCTTTAAAATTAAATTAAAAATTGTTATGGTCTAAATTTATCATAACCTATTTAAATAACTTATGAATTAAATTTAAAAATTAAATAGAACATGTCTCCTGTCAACTTTTAAAGAAATTCTATCAGTTTACTAGCGTAAGTACCCAGAACCACTGTTTACATCCTGTTTACAAGAGGATTCTCCTTGTCGCTTTTGTCTTGTTGTGGACAGTTGAGCTGGGGAGTTGAAACACAAGTTCTCTTAATCCCTTTGAACTGTTTGATTGTATAGTGAAGCTGATTCTTGTCCATGGACACCAAGGCTATGTCTACACTGGCGGCTTCTTGCACAAGAACATCTTGCGCAAGAAAACGTCCACACTGCCATGTGCGCGCTGTGCTTTTGCGCAAGAGTGCCCATGGCAGTGTGGACACTCTCTTGCGCAAGAAAGCTCCGATGGCCATTTTAGCCATAGGGCTTTCTTGCGCAAGAATTCCCCGCCGAGCTTCCACACTGCCATCTTGCGCAAGAGCTCCTGCGGAAGAGGGCTTACACTTGTTAAAAAAGAGTGTAGCTCTTGTGCAAGGAGCCCTCTCTTACCACGCCGTACTGTAAATGTTCTTGCGCGAGAGCAGGCGGGCAGTGTGGACGCTCTGCCAATTCTTGCACAAGAACGGCGGTTCTTGCGCAAGTGCATTTGCATGCGTAACCTCCCCAGACAAAAAAGGGTGGAGGCGGCCAAAAATGTTTTTGTTTGGGGCGGTAAAAAGACCTAGAACCAGCCCTGCTTCCTACTGAAAAAATCCAGTTTCTTGGGGTCCTTCACTTTGGTGTTGTACCTTGATGACTCTGATCTCTTTCATTGGCAATAAATACCATCAGGGTGTTGAGTAATTTAGAAGAAATCATAGCTATAGGCAGGTAGTAAGCGTTTCCACACATTTCTTTTTAATGTGGAGGGAAGGGAAGCAGGAGTCTGCCACAGGTCTTTAATGGGGTTCATAATGGCCTCAATTAAGAGGCAGTGCTACTTCTGATGGACCTACTGCCATTAAAATGCCAACCAGGCTAGGAGATGACCGCTTCACTACCTCCACTTCTGTGGCTAAATTTAAGGCCATCCTCTTCAACTCTTGGCAAGCCTTACAGTCCTCCTAGGGAGGTGACACACCCACTCTTGACACAGCCTGATCTGGGAAAGAGAAGGCCGCTGCCACCGGAGGACTCTCTTCCTCCCCTTCTGCATTGGCAAGGCTCTGCAGAACAAGTTTTTGAAACTCAACACTGTATTCAGTACCCAAGTAGGAATGTGAATGACTAGTTGACTATCCAATAAACAAATGCTTATTGGATAGTCAACAGGCTAGTTGACTAGTCGCTTCCCCCCTTGCTGCCTCGATCAGAAAGAGGCAGCTAGGTGTGTGTGGGGGGGGGGAGGGGAGGAGGAACAGATGGGGATACTTCAAAGCAGCAGCACCGCATGGAGCCTGGAGCCAGCTGAAATGCCGCATGCAGCCCAGGGCCAGCTGGGGTGTCCCCAGGTTGCATGCCGCATGGAGCCCGGGATCAGATGAGGACAGCCCAATTGATCCCGGGCTCCATGTGGCGCTGCCGTTTTGAAACGCCTGAAGGAGCCTGGCATCAGTGGGTGAACCCCAGCTGACTCCAGCCTCCACGTAGCACTGCCACTTTGAAATGCTACGTGCAGCCTGATGCAGGATTCCTCAAAGTGTTTCCAAGTGGCAGTGCTGCATGGAGACGCAGCACTTTCGCCTTTGAAGTGTAGAATAATACAATGAACAGAACAGAGATATATAAGGGATATACAAAACTCTTATGATGAGCATAAGATAGATAATGCAACATTACATATACATTTAAAGAGCACCAGTGATGGTATTCAAAGCTACAGTTTTAATTTTCATAGCAACAATATCTGTGCAAACACAAATTGAACTCCTAGCCCACCCAAGATATCAGTTGGAATTTTCCCAATGACTTCACTGGGGCTAGCATTTCACACACATAGTACAGGTTAGACCTCCCTGGTCCAGCACTCTTGGGTCCTGAGCAGTCTTTGGATGAAAGGAATTTGCCAGACCAGAGAAGCTCTCCTGCCATTAGCTCCCTCAGCCTGCCATCACTCCTCGCAGCCAGCTCCTTCGGCCCAGCTGCCTGCTGGGCAACACGGCTGTCACAGTCCCCCTGCCAGTGCTGCTGACCCAGCCCGGTACCGGCACGGCAGCAAGCAGCCCTAGCTCCACTGCAATGGCACCAACCCTGCTGCTGGGCAGCACGTAGTCCTGATTGGGCTGCTGGGGCCCCAACTGGGTTGCTGCAGCCCTGGCTCCACTGCCATAGCCCCTGACGGATTTTCCCTGCTGGGCTGCTGTGGCCTAGCCTTACTGCCAAACAGGCTGCCATAGCTCTCACCCCACTGCCAGGCTAGCATGCAGCCCCAATCGGGCTGCTGCGATATAGCCATGCTGCCGGGCTGGTACGCATGGGCTGCTCCAGCCCCAACTGGGCTGTTCAACTGCCTCTGTCCCACTACCATGCTGCTGAGGCCCTGGCCCTGCTACCAGCAGCCTCGCTGTACACCGGCCTCTCAGCTGCTGGCCCTCTTGCTCCATGGCTCTCTCATTCAGAAACATCCACAGTCCTGCTCAGAAGCGGCCTGAGGCAGCTGGCGCCCCAGGCGGAACGCACGATCGGCGCCCCCGCCTCCACAGCCATCAGTGGGCTGTCAATGGGGTGACATTATCATCGGGCGCCCCAGGTGCCCTGTGATGTCATCATCGGGTGCGGCTGAAGGCGGTGCCCTAGTCAACGGCCGAGTCGGCGTATAACCATGGGCCGCCCCTGGGTCCTGCTAGACCACAGATGTTGCTGGACGAGAGTCCTGGTTTTGGAAGGTGCATCCTGTATTGTCTTCTGACTAGTGTTATGCAGAATACACAGCATACGAATTTACTTCTGGGGTAGAAATGAAGTCAGTTTTTAATTTCCTAATTTTTGTGCAATTAAAATTTCAAACCTGTCCCATACATCAGCTTGTGTTTCTCTAAAATCCAGCTTCAATAATATTGCCTTTATATTGAAGACAGAGGAAAGGGAAGCCAGAAGAATATTATTCAAATAAAAACCACCATAACTATATGTTTATGGAAAGCTATCAAAAATATTCAGATAGTAATATAATCCAAGCAATTCTATGTAATAAGAATGCTATTGATCTATATTAATTTTAAGGGCATTAATGGACCAAACCAAGCATAAATGCTAAGCCTTCCTTAGGAAAAAAAAAAGACTAAATAGTATTCACATCTCTAGGTACCAACATTTCTTACATGTTTTACCTTCCTTCATTAAAAAATAAGCTAACTGAAAGATAAATTAAATCACTCCACAATATTGGTCACTGAGATTGATATTTAGTGATGGAGTTTGAAAAAGGGTATGTCTATTAAGAGTTTTTCCATATGCAGGCATCTGAGAAATGAAAACTGAAAGTGAGAGGGGAAAAGCAGCTGGTTTTGGTGGCATCTTAAGCACCATAAAAAGTTAACATTCACAGGCACTTTCAAAATACTACATATTTTTATTTTCAGTAATGTTTTCTTATCTTTAAGCCTATGCTAAAATGCAAACTAAAGGCATTCTCTGTTTTTAGCCACACATCTGTTTTAGCCTAAAACAACCAAAAATGTTGATGTCTGAAAGACCTACCTCTCCATGATTGAAAAAGTAGCACAATACTGTAACTAGGCCTCCTAGACGGCTCCCACTGTTAAAAGAAAATGAAAATTGAGTGCAACAGAATTTAATATTCAGTATCTTCCAAAAACCAGTTTCACAAGATTTGTCCACACACACCAGAATATCTAGTCTCGTTTTTAAACATACAGTAGGAAATATTATATATTTATGGTTTTTGAGGTGGAAGATTCAAACCAGTTAAGAGCCAAATAGGCAACCAATGTTAGTTTTAGAGCAGTGCATCTTTGACCTACATCCTTGTACGCAACTCTTTCCTGTGAATGCCTCATACCTTTAACAGAGCCAGTAGAGTAGATGTGGTTACCTAGCTCTGCTACAGACTCCCCTGTGAGGCCAACTTTTAAGAGGTAGGAACTAATTAGAGGTGTTTCCCATTTTCTGGGTGTACAACTTGAAACACTCAGAGCCTAATTTTCAGAAGTGCTGAACATCTGCAACTTAAGTGGATTTCAATGAGAGTTGCAGATGTTCCACACTTCTGGAAAAGAAATCAGGTTCCAGGAGTCTTAGTTTGGGCACCCAAACATTAAACACAATTTTAGTCTGAATCTGTGCCATATAAAAAAAATGGAGCTCTCTCTATATAACCTAAAATTCTCATTGATATTGTGAAGCTGTATTATATATTTTTTTTTTAAGATATCATGAGTACTTCTGGTATGCAAATTTACCATTGTTGACTGTTAGAAGTACACATCAGACATATAACATGGGGGCTGCTTAGGACTCAAACACGCTACTCAGAAGCAAACATCTACAACAGGCGAACTGCATGATTAGGAAAAAAACATTTTAACTGTATTCCACTGACAGATTATTGGAGCACTAGCAGACAGGGAAAGATAGTGCTGCTTCTTTTATGTCCATGTCCCTTTCTGGGAATGCTTTCTTTCCTCTTCTGGACTGCCCAAACCTTTGATTCTTCTTGCACACTGCACTTGTGGGCCCTACAACCTGTCCAAAGGATGGCTGTGTCAATTATTATTAGGTTGGTATCAAAGTGGCAACTTCTTGAAGCGGCAAGAATTTCTGCTTTATCTCAAGCCTTTTTCAGGGATATTTACTGGGGCAACCCTTCACCTAGAGTGGAGCACCCATGGGGACACTACTCGAAGAAGAATCCTAGGATCTTATAACTAAGCCATAAGTGCATTCACATTTTACTGTATAGAAAGTTCTCTGAAAATGTCCACGCAGTGTGCAGAGGCAGTCAAAAAAGTAAATAGGATGCTAGGAATTATTAAAAAAGGGATAGAAAAATAAGAGGAAGAATATCTTATTTCCCCTATACAAAACTATAGTACGTTCATATCTTGAGTACTGCGTACAGATGTGGTCTCCTCACCTCAAAAGAAGATATGTTGGCATTAGAAAAGGTTCAGAAAAGAGCAACTAAAATGATTAGGGGTTTGGAACGGGTCCCATATGAGGAGAGGCTAAAGAGACTGGGACTTTTCAGTTTAGAAAAGAGGAGACTGAGGGGGGATATGATAGAGGTCTATAAAATCATGAGTGGTGTGGAGAGGGCTGATAAAGAAAAGTTATTTATTAGTTCCCATAATAGAAGAACTAGAGGACACCAAACAAAATTAATGGGTAGCAGGTTTAAAACTAATAAAAGAAAGTTCTTCTTCACACAGCGTGTAGTCAACCTGTGGAACTCCTTGCCAAAGGAGGCTGTGAAGGCTAGGACTATAACAGAGTTTAAAGTGAAGCTAGATAATTTCCTGGAGGTTAGGTCCATAAAAGGCTTCTACTTCCGTTCACAGTCAATGAGATGATATAACGCCATCTAGTGGCGGAGTTTTTAAATGGTTTGCTGCTGGTTCAAGACTTGATTATTTTGATCACAGTTTGCCAGTTGCCTCAAGTGTGTAGTCGGCCCCCGAACTGCTGTTTGATAGTTAATGCGGCCCTCGGGCTGAAAAGTTTGGAGACCCCTCTGATAGAGGTATATAAAATCATGAGTGGTGTGGAGAGGGTGAATAAAGAAAAGTTATTTACTTGTTCCCATGATATAAGAACTAGAGAACACCAAATGAAATTAATGGGTAGCAGGTTTAAAACTAATAAAAGAACGTTCGTCTTTACACAGCACACAGTCAACCTGTGGAACTCCTTTCCAGAGGAAGCTGCAAAGGCTAGGATTATAACACAGCTTAAAAAAAAAGAGCTGGATAAATTCATGGAGGTTAGATCCATGAAAAGCTATTAGCCAGGGGCTAAGGAATGGTGCATCTGGCCTCTGTCAAAAGCTGGAGAAGGATGGCAGGAGACAAATTGCTTGATCATTGTCTTCGGTCCAGCCACTCCAGAGCACCTGGCACTGGCCACTGTTGGCAGACAGGATACTGGGCTAGATGAATCTTTGGTCTGACCCAATATGGCCATTCTTATGTAGTAAAGGGATGAAGCAATGGATGGTTCTGGGGAATGGTAATGGGAGAAAGGAACTCTGAACTGGTTACGTACAGTTGGTGTGTTGCAAAGCCAGAGGCTAGCCAAGAGCTGTTTATTGGCCTCTACAAAGTTAATTTTGTGGCCACATTTCTATCAGAATGGGGTTGTAAGTACAGTTACAGAAAATATCACCACAAGCACAAAAAACCCATCCCTACTACTAGTCTCAACTGAACAGCCAAAGTCTGAATTGTCATGGAGACAGAACCACTCTCTCAATCACACGGCAATCTGTCCCAATCAGAGTTGAAACAAGCTGACAGGGGAGTTGGGGAACTTGTACTGTTAATGCTTTAGTTGTACCTCTTTATATAGAGAGAGGACTTCAGTTTCTGTATCTTATGAATGCTATCACTTAAAGGAATAATGAAAGAAGATTAAAGGAAACAAGCAGTAGAAACTGAGGATACTTAAGCCACCATATTCCAATATGGATTTAACAAACAGGAAAATTAATTTTTCTACAGTTCTATAGTGGGCAAAGTAACACACTATACACAATATTTTAATATATACAGTTCTCTTCCTGTATAAGTTTTCCACGAATATGATGCAATATCCACCCCCACACTCACCTTGAAGGGATTAATGGAGGCCAAATGGGCAATTAGCCTATCAGGCTGAAGGCTAAGTAGGGGAAGCTTGCTGATGAGGGATCAGGCAGGGCTTCTAGAAAACCAAGAAGCTGACAGCAAGGAGTCTGCAAGGTGGTAGTATGCAATTACTCCATGGGAGAAAAAGTGGGTTTGGGAGCTAGAGAGACAAGTAGCCCATGGCTGTTCCCTATGAGGAGGGTCTTGAGAAGCTGGCAAAGCCAACCAAGCGGGGAGAGCCAAGAGGTAAGGAATCAGCCAAGGAAGTAAACAGCACAGTTGGGGACTGAGCAGACTGTGCCTGTGTGTGTAGGGACCCTGGACTAAAACCTGGTGTAGAGTACTGGGGAAGTAGCTCTGGTGGAACAGTGAATTAGAAGACTGGCTGGGTCATTATGGGAGTGATAGAGACTTTGAAGGACTATACCCTGGAAGGGGGAAAGGAAAACCCTAAGGCTACGTGTACACTACAAGATTTGCCAGAAGAGGCAATGCAAATGAAGCACAGATTAGCATTTTCTCATGGTTTATTTGCATATTCTCTTCCAATCCGTTTTTGTACATGGTGTTTTTGTGCAAAAAACAAGCAGTGTGGATGTTTCCTGCCCTTCTTCAGGTTCCAATTGTTCCGGTTGGATCATTGGACTTTTTGGTGGTGGTGGAGGTGAGTGTCATTGTTCTAGTTCAAGAGGTAAAGATTGGACACTGGGTGATAGACAACAGCATGAGGGCCTCCTGTAGGAATGTGATCTATGTTCATGATGAGGGGGGTAGTAGGATTTATGGTAGTGCCCATAGTAACGTTCTGAGTGCATAGGTGACAAACGATGGGAGGATAATACACTGCTATGTCGTAAATAACAGTCACTCCATGGTGATCGTATTGGCGATCATGGGTGATGTGTTGAACGCCTCAGTGAAGGAGAGGGCGACAGTCTTCTTTCGCCAGAGCTGGTGTCCCTGTGGCAAGGTTGGCGGTATGCAGATGGTGGGCTGTGCCGAGGGGAACACACCTATTCTCTCATCTATAAGTGATCAATTGGCGTTGGAGACTGCTGTGGTAGTGGGGAGGGAGACAGTTCTGGGGAGATACTTTTGAGGAACGCTGTTGAAAAGAGGGAGCTCCATCCACGACTGAGGGCAGATGAGAGGACCACGCGCGATGGATGAAAGTCGTGGAACGAGACTGAGTGTGTCTTTGCGGTGGCCTCTCTCGCTGCCGCGGTGGTGGTGTCTCCCATCGATGTCACGGACTGCAGTGCTGATTCCAATTATACCAGTGCCGGTGAACTCAAGTGTGCCAGTGTCGTGGGCGGTGCTGATGTTGGCGCCGCTATCAGTACCGTGAGTGTTGGCGCCAGTGGGGATGTTGTCGAGGCCAGTGCAGAGAGTGTCCGTGACACTGGCGTGATTGCTTTTCTTGGCAGTTTTTCCGGTGCCAACAGCACCAGCATTGATCGTGCCTTCGGTGCAGGGAGAGGCAATTTTCTGGGCTTAACACCAGGAGTCTGCTGAGACCCAGACATACCAGGTCTATCCCTCAAGCTCACTCTGCTGATTGGAGCAGCTAGTAGGGACAGAGTTGGGGATGCCCTTATTTTCTTTGAAAGAACAGTCCCAGGAGAAGTTTTTCCGGTGCCAACAGCACCAGCATTGATCGTGCCTTCGGTGCAGGGAGAGGCAATTTTCTGGGCTTAACACCAGGAGTCTGCTGAGACCCAGACATACCAGGTCTATCCCTCAAGCTCACTCTGCTGATTGGAGCAGCTAGTAGGGACAGAGTTGGGGATGCCCTTATTTTCTTTGAAAGAACAGTCCCAGGAGAATAGGAAATGTTCTTCAGTAGCAGAAGCAGGGACATCAGAAGATTGAAGCGCCTTGTCAAACAATCATTTTAAGGTGCATTTCTTGATCTCTTCAAGCTCTGGCAGTCAGTTTACAACAGTGGGTGCAT